TCCTGTCTCAGCCACAAGAGACTGGTACCAGCTTTGGCCTGGGACAGCCGGGGTTGGTCTCTACCAGCCGGGATGTCTGGGTTTGTCACGGGAGGCCTAAGAGCCGAACCACCGTTCTCTCTGCCTGCCTGGTCTGGCAGGTGGGCACTGCCCCAAAGTGTTACCAGGTTTATTGGGAGGCAGTTCAGAGGGTAGGGATGAGACCACCCTTTGCAGGGTATTTGAGATGCAGGAAGGGGAGGATCTGGGGGATTCTGATATAGGGATAAGCAAGTTTCCCCTCCTTGGCTGCAATACTCTGGCCTGCAGTACCTGTTGCACGTCTCTGGGGAGTCGCTGGGCTCACAGCCCAGTGGGACACAGGCAGTAAGATGGCAGGGTGAGCTGGTCTTCCTTGTCTCACAGAGATGGGCAAGAGAGGACTCCCTACTGCGTCTCTGCTGATAAACTGACCCGCAATGCCTTTCGCAAGTTCATGGTGGACCATCCAGACAAGTACGACTACAGCCGTGCCAAGGTGGGTGCCTGCCCTCACCTTCTGGGGGACCCCACAGCAAAGCACCCCTCACCTACTTGTGCCGTAGCCCCTGGCTGACTGGGAGATGCTGACTGCCCTCTGCCCCCAGGTGCCGGGGCCCCTGACGCAGGAGATGGAGGCCAAGAAGCTGGAGAAGAAGCGGGCACAGAAAGCCCAGCGGAAGCAGCGGGAGCAGGCGCAGCGGGAGGAGCGGCAGCGCTGGGAGCAGGAGCAGGGAGAGAAGCAGCGGTTCGCAGCCCTGTCTGACAGGGAGAAGGTGAGGCCACGCATGGGGCAGTGCCGAGGTGGTGGGCACTGGGCACAGCAGCTCCCGGGTGCTGAAGGGGCTGAGCCGTCTCTCTGCTCTCCAGAGGGCCCTGGCTGCTGAGCGGAGGCTGGCTGCACAGCTGAAGGACTCCAGCACAACTCTTGACAACATCAGGTAACAGCCCCGGCAGCAGGGCTCTGCGGACAAACTCTCCCATGGGAGCACAGCTGTTCCCTGCCCTTCTTGCACCGGTTCTCATTTCCAATCTAAAGCTATTCCCGTCCACTTGATTCCCAGCGGTGCCTGTCTAAAACCTCTCTCTCTCTCTCTCTCTCTCTCTCTCTCTCTCTCTCTCTCTCTCTCACCCC